CTCATTGTCTAAAACTTACGAAACACAGACGTATTCAGAAAGAGTATTGACAGAGGTCGCCGCCAAAACAAAAGCAGTTTCATTGCCTGTCTGACCGCCTGTGGTCTGACATCCTATCACCGCTGAACAATAAATAGGTGTGAATATTTTAGGCATGTTGTCGAAACAAATGAATAGGATTAGGAACAATGCCGTTTTGGAACAGCTGGTTGAAACAATGAAGTCAGTCACGGTCTTGTTGAATTGGGGGTGCGGTTAGTAATAGGTACTTTTCAAGTTTTCAATTTTTGTTAAGAACTCTTCAACCCCGAAGCCGGAATTGGGGGTGCGGTTACTATTACGTATGCGGTTTATATTAGGACTTTAACGGTAGTTTGTGTCCAGTGGAGAGAGAAGTCAATAGTACTGTTGCCTCCTGAGAATCTTCAAACACTGCAATCCTTGTTTTTGATGTTTTTAAATTAGTATTATTAAACCTATAATTCTGTTCTAAAAGCTGAAACAAATTCCTGTGAATTTTGATTTTCAAAATGTATAGACTTCAACAAAAAAATGTTTTGTCAAATGAACTGTTTGTCAAGTATGAAATATATGTTTATCTTTCAAAATGTGAATGCAACATTTTGCTTTTTATGTATTTTTGCATTGTTTTTGTTTTGATAACTTTGAACTAAACAAATTTTCTATTGGCTCCATATTTTGATCAAAAGTTTGGCACCAAATTCATAGGAAAGGTTATGTTGATTTTCTGACACCTTGTTTTCTGTTAAGATTTTATTGATAGGTTGCAAATACGTATCCGACTGTGCAACAACTCTCTCCATGATTTGGCATTGAATCCCAGTGAAGTATTCCTATGGGATTTGGTTGACACATTACAAATGATATTATTACAAGATAAATGATTTGCTTCATTGAACACCTACAACAATGCATATTCCTACTGAGATCCAGTGACCTTTGATGTGTATCACCAGTGACCATTCAAGTAGAAAAAGTCAAAATATTTTATTTTATCTGATTTTCTGATGACTAAGTTTGAAAAAGTTTGGAATAGAATTGGCAAAGTTATTGTGGACACTAACAATTATTGACAGACATTTTTCCTTTAATAAACCTTTTTCTTCCATCTTTGATGATACAAGCAAAGTAATAAAAAACACAGGTAGAAAGTGATTCATCCCCTACAATTAGGACAGGGGCAAGCAATACAATAGGTGATTGTGACATTAAAAATCAGAACGAGAAAAATAACATACCTACTCTTCGTGATTTAATATATGTATTATTGTACTTCTCAACACCACGCTCAGCGTCTTCCTTGTTAAAATATTGTACAAACGCAAAACCTCTGTGTACAGAGACTCCTGAAAAAAGATAAATTGAAAGAATGAACCACATGACATAACAGGTTTCATCATTGAACATAAACACACAACTGAAGTATTATTTTAGAATTTGATATTGTCCACAAACGGATAAGTAATAATATTCAGTACGATATTTATATTTGTAATTGGCTAGTCCTGATACGACGACAGGGTTTTTTCTGAATCTGGGAACAGGAGCGCAGCACCCTGATGCTCTTATCTGGCGCCCTCTTACAGAATTGCAGATTGAACTTTCAAGTCATAAATATTTGTTTTGAGCCGCACACTGTCGTGCTGCCGTACAACATGCAATCTTTCTCGAATACATTTTTCTGTGAAAACTCAGTTAAAACAGCGCAGAAACCTTCTGATATAGCGTTTCCAGGTCGATCCGCCTGTGTGTGCTTATTTTGTTTATTTTTTTCTAGAAAAACTGTTACGACATATGCAGTGAAGTACAGTTGAAAGAACAACTAGACTAAAGATGCAAACAGATTTTGCCGTTACTATAGTAATGCATAGTTCAATACAATGCCCGACAAGGTAACTACTACAAGTCTATATTGTCCAATTGATGGACATCCCATGATATAACATATGTACCAATCATTTTGGAGAACAAGTATACCAAGACATTCACACCAGCACACTCATTATCTTACAAATCAAATAAATATTTTAATTACCTGCAACTTTACCGCATAAACTAAACAAATCGTCTAACTCATGCCGGGAAATCTCCTCAGTGCCTAAATTTCCAATAAAAACACGAGAGTCTATGTCCTTTGGGTCTTTGCTATTTGTAATATTGCCAAAGGTTTTTTTATCTCTTTCACTGCTTCTCACTGAACTTCTAGTTCGAGATCGGGATCGACTTTTGCTCCGAAGGCGGTCACGACCTTGACGAGAAGAAGAGCTTTCAGAGGATGTGCTTCTGTCCCTTCGTCTATAAACACCCCGACTTTTGCTCATGTCGTGAGTGCTCCTGAAATCCAATATCAACATTTTGTTCATACACACGACTACAAAAAACTTTACCTTGACACATTAGCACAAACACTATGTGCATTAGCACAAGTAAAATGTAATATGTTAAAAGACTTACGCAGAAGAGATGCATGTCAATCACTTATTCCAAAACCAATATTATGTGTACTTGGTTTCTTGTTTTGTCGAAAGAATTTCCAATTGGCACGGTACCTGTTTAAAAACATAGTTGAACTCTGGTGACCTTGCCCTTTGTTATATAATATTATTCTCTTTAGTTTGTTTCAATATCAATATGCATTGTCATAATTAATTTTGATACAAACAAGTTTTGGGGTTGAAACAACAGTGGGAAAGCAATTTACCGAATGTCCTTGATAGATATAAATATCTTACAAAAACATTGGTGCCTAATTGGTTTTATTATTTTAAGGGACATAATTTTCAGCTTTATTCAAAGTAATTTAGATTTTTTATCATAAAAACAAATGCCGCAGCTCAGAAAAATGTGCTGCATTTAGACGCGAATAGATTTATAAATCATGCAAGATACCAGAAAATCTTAGCTGGCTTTTGTTCAAAAATTAATGATTTACTGAGACAAATCTTAACTGCCTTATTATGTCCATTGTGTGACTACTGTATTACTTGAGAAGTAAAAAAAAACTCCCTCTACGAATAGCTATTATGTGGCAAGCTCTGCTACGTTATGCAAATCAACTTAAATAGTTGGTGTTTAGTGAAGAAAGGACAACAGTACTTTTGCCTCCTGAGAATCTTCAAACACAGCTCTTTGTTTTTAAAGTGCGATTTTAAATTATTATTAAAGCTCTATCATTCTGTTCTAATAGCTGAAACAAATTCCTGTGAATTCTCATTTGTCGAATGGTCTGTCTGTCAAATACAGAATACCTATTTTTGAGTACAATTATTTTTTCAAAATGTGGATGCAACGTTTCGCTTTTTATGTATTGTTTTTGATTTGATTACTTTGGAGTAAACAGATTTTCTATTAGCTTCAGATCTTGATCAAGTTTGTCACTCAATTCATAGGAGTGCTTATATTGATTTTCTGACATCTTGTTTTCTGTTAAGATTTTAGGTTTGCAAATTTGTATAAGACTGTGCAACAACTCTCTCCATGAGTTGGTTTTGAAACCCAGTTTAGTATTCCCATGGAATTTGGGAGATACATTACAATAATATTATTACAAGATAAAGGATTTGCTTCATTCAACACAGACAACAATGCATATTTCCACTAAGATCAGTGACCTTTGAATGTGTATCACGGTGATCAGTCGTAGAAACAGTCAAAATATTTTATTAGATTTTCTCAATTTTTGCATGATATTTTCATACAGGACATCTGTTGTTCATACTCAGGGAAGACTTTATACTGATGAATAAGGTGACCAAGTGTGATAAAGTTTGGAATAGAATTAGTAAAGTTATTGTTCACACAATAACAATTATTAACGACCACGATGACAACAACGGCAATGCCAGACAGAAATTGTTCCATTACCATATTTATCCGGGTATAAGCCCAGGGTCCTGAACATGGAAAATTGCCAAAAAAAAGGGGTGGGCGTTTGCCAGGAGATCCCTGGCAAAAAAACGAAAATTCGAGAAAATTGACAACACGCACATCTAACTGCGGCAGGGAATAGAACGGCAAATGAAAACATGCAACGGAAATAAATGAACAATATGCAACACTAGAAGTAAAACAAAAATAATCATAATGTATTGCTTATAATGTGACAAATAAACCAGAAATAATAAAAATCGACAGTGAGGAATCATTTGAATTAGGATTTTCCCGCCGACCAACACGCCCATACGCGTGAACTCAAAATGAATTAAAATGTCAGGGGTTAAACTGCGTAAAATGATTTCCGGTCGACAAATTACGAATCAACCGTCATACTAAATCAATAATAATTTACAAATTTACACAGTAAAAATTATAAAAATTCATAGCTGTTTGAAAAAACTTCTCAGATCTTTATTTGTACATTTATTGCCATCTTCGTGAAACTCAAAACCCTCAAATGTCCAAGTCGGCGTCACTGTAGCCGTCAAACATTATTCCTGAAGTTCGTCAATATCGTCCCACACAATTTGGACTTGGCACTTTTAATCCACGAATTTCGCAGTCTGTCAGCTTGGCACTTTTCATTCATGTCTAATCATAATAAAGAGACAAGAAAAATGGGGTCGCTCTGCTGCGATTGCAGACGATGCTTTTGTTTACAGTCTAGCAACCATCTTTGACCTTTATGCATCTGCTTTACTGATTGACTAAGAATGACATCACTACAAGTATTTCATCATAAAGGTCAAATCGTGACATTGCTTTCTTATCAGACTCGACGCTTATTAATCACTGTGAAAGTTATCATTCAGCATGTTCCGGCGGTTGGAATGTCTCACTATATGGATATCGCAGTGGACTTGAAATAGGAAGTTTTTTTTTTATCCAACGACAGAAGAAATGCAATAGCGGTGATAAAAGATGGTAAAAAAGTTGGCAGTCTTCGGCGTGACATTGCAAAATTGCTGGCCCCAGTTATGGATTTGCAAGCTGCTACAAAATATTTATAAAGCCAAAATAACGTGATTTCAACCATTCTCCCAGGTACGGGTTGCTACAATATTACAACATTGTTTTCATTGTCGATTACGCTAAAGCAGAACGAGTGCGACACTTGCTTAGCGGCTCTCCTTATACGATTTGCTTGAATCGTTTCTAAGGAAGCACAAACCAAACGGCCGGCCCTTTTTAGGGTAAAGTCAACTGTTAATACAACCACAGTCAACGAATAGAAAATAGTTTTTTTTTTGTGTGTGTAGAAAAAGACCCCTGGGCGTGTGCAATGGATATGACCTCAACTTCTTTATTGTGTCAGAAGTAGGGGGTGGGCGTTTGTCCAGGCATGGGCTCTTACCCGAATAAGTACGGTAATGTATCTTTTCCTTCTTTGATGTTACGGGCAAAGTAAAAATGTTCTCACACTTACTGTCTGAGAACAGTTCTATAAAGAGTATGTATCAAGAGGAGCAGAAGTACCGTACTCCCTCCCCCCCCCCCCCCCCCGAGTATAAGCCCAGAGGCCTGAACATGTAAAATCGGGAAAATTAGGGGGTGGGCTTATACTTGAGGACAACCTCATAACAAACAATTTTTTCGGCGGTTTAAAATTGTAACCATCTTCCCAACCATGAACAATTATCCAAATTTCATTTTTCATTCACAGAGCCGGTCTCTGAGAAATATTACGTCTCTTATTTCCATGACACTTTTTACAATGAAGAAACAAACATGTTCATAAAAATACACACATATTATTACAATACATTTACATACCGACTGAATTTACAGTGCAAAAATGGGTAGGGTCTTGGTGTTCTCCCCATGCCTCTGAAGCGACATGGTACCGCGACGCTTAGTCACTCACCCGTGATGCTCATTGCTTTGTTTACAAGTGTCAGTCTCGTCTTGCACGTATTTAAAACAATAACATGTATTGATCGAAAGGTAATCCCGCTTTTGTTAGCCATACAAAGACAGTGATAAAACCGGAAGTCTGCAAGAATTTGCGAAGTCTTTCAAGGGTGCATAGCCTCCAAATCCCAAAAAATTACTAGAGTAGCAACAATTTGCCCATTGCACACAATGGCAACAATGTGACAAAAACAGTCACGGCCGTACGTCGGGAAGATCAACCCCGATTTGCTGCACTTTGATTTTTTTATCACTCAATCGCCAGTGACATCAATCACCCCAAAATTTAAAAAAACAAACAAGTGAAATTAAGTCTCATTCAAAAGAAAAGTATGAATAACTCAACAGCACACTTGACGGGTTAAGAAAAAACGAACTCTGAACTATGGAAATACCCGATTCATAGGGTGCCTCAGTACCGAAGAACGCCGCCCTAAGGCGACATAATGCACGTTGCAACAGTGTGACCGATGAATGCTAAATTACAGGGGGTTCTGATCAAGGTAAAGATGGCAGCGAAGAGTGCATGTTTTTTCCGCGATGTTTAAAAACAACATCTCATTGGCGATTTTGATGTAATGCCTATGATAATCGTCAATGAATCGTTTTAATAAACAATTTGTGTATTTCACACCAAAACGTCAGATACCGATGATTGCAATAGCAGCAGTGAATACCCGTTTAACACAATGCCGTCACCTTACAATGTTACGGTGATCGTAGCGTTACTCATAAGGTATATTGCAATGAAAAATCGCTGACTATTAGTGCCGAAATGCCATTGTAGAATTCTTTCCTAATTATTAATTTCAACATATTACAATATCTCGCTGACTTTATAAATTTAACCAAAAAATGTTTTGCCCGACATTTATATAATAATAATTTTATTCAACACGAAAATCTACTACAGAGTAAATTTATGGTTGTACATGTTTCATGAACCGACAGTGACATGAGCACTAAAACTTGTACACAATGATGAACCAGTTACATCCATGGATAACATTATATTCACTGACAAGTCTTTAATTTTTTTTTCATTTTTATGCTGTTCTATTTCAAAACCATTTTCGACTTGATACAAAAACATAAAATACAATGCAGTAAAATGATATAAAATTTATCAGATATAAGAATATCTTGTCTTTAATTAATCAGGGTTCTCCATGGTTTGAAAATTAAACAGGGCGCATGTGAAGTGGGCGTGGCACATTTGTAACGTGCATCATTGGCAAGGATGTTGATAAATGGAAACCAAAAAATCTATTAATCTACATATTATTACATATGCATAATATATATTTATTATTACAAAATGAATAGGAATTTTGAAGAGCTATTAAGTAAACGTCAGCACGTACAATCAGCTGATTTTAGCTGCACGATTCCTCAAGCGGCGACATCAGTTGTTTACAAGTAATGATCGTGTCCAGAAAAAGACGCAACAAGTTTGTTAATTTATTTTCCCAAATAGATACATACATGCTTTATTTAATTTTTAGCAAAAATTTATATTTATGATTTATATTTATTTGGATGAAGCAAAATAAAATGTATGATGTCGCACAAATATTCGTAATTGGTTCGTTAAAAAACTTGCATGAATGGCACCAAAAACCAAGGTGATCAAACAAAATAAAATGTACACAATAGAAGATTTTCGATCTGCAGTTAACAGTTACTATCAAAAATAATAGAATTAGGTATAAAAAAACAAAATACATAGTTAAAAGAATAATTTTCATTCGAATCCAAAGTTTGTTGATGTCTGCTTCGTTGAAAACGGCTATGACCCGGAAACAGTTCATTTTACTGTGTGCACCCTGATACTATGTCACGATGCTTTTGATTGGCCAAAGCCACGCATTGACGCGAAAAACAACCAATCAGAATATTTGTTCCTAAAG